TATCTCGAAGTTAAGTACCTTAAATTAGCATTCTATGACTGGGAATCAAACCCTGGCCGCGCGGTGAGAGCGCCGAATCCCAGCAACTAGACCATCAGGGACACACTTGCTCAAAGAATAACTAGGTGAAATTACGTTGATAAACGATCACAGTGTCACATAATGTCCTGAGAAAATGACAAATTTCACTTCACAGAACAGTAACTCGCAGTTAAGTACCTTCAAATTAGCATTCCCTGACTGGGAATCTAACCCAGGCCGCAGCGGTGAGAGCGCCGAATCCAAGCCACTAGACCATCAGGGACACACTTGCTCAAAGAATAACTAGGTGAAATTACGTTAATAAACCCTCACAGTGTCACATAATGTGGTTGAGAAAAATGAAAAAATTCTCTGAACTGTAATGTAACTTGAAGTTAAGTACCTTCAAATTAGCATTCCCTGACTGGGAATCGAACCCAGGCCATGGCAGTGAGAGCGCCAATCCTAGCCACTAGACCATCAGGGACACGCTTTCTTAAAGAATAGCTAGGTGAAATTACGTTAATAAACCATCACAGTGTCACATAATGTGGTTGGGAAAATGACAAATCTCACTTCACCTAACGGTATCTCGAAGTTAAGTACCTTAAATTAGCATTCTATGACTGGGAATCGAACCCAAGCCGCGCGGTGAGAGCGCCGAATCCTAGCAACTAGACCATCTCACAGTGCCACATAATGTGGTTGGGAAAATGACAAATCTCACTTCACCTAACGGCATCTCGAAGTTAAGTACCTTAAATTAGCATTCTATGACTGGGAATCGAACCCAGGCCTCGCAGTGAGAGCGCCGAATCCTAGCAACTAGACCATCAGGGACATACTTGCTCAAAGAACAACTATGTGAAATTACGTTGATAAACGATCACAGTGTCACATAATGTGGTGAGAAAATGACAAATTTCACTTCACCGTACCATTTGAAGGTACTTAACTTCAAGGTACTGTTCACAGAATGGTTAGGTGAAGTGAAATTTGTTATTCACCTAGTTATTCTTTGAGAACGTGTGTCCCTGATGGTCTTGTTGCTGGGATTCGGCGCTCTCACCGCTGCGGCCTAGTTTCGATTCCCAGTCAGGGAATGATAATTTTAAGGTACTTAACTTCGAGTTACCGTTCGGTGAAGTGAAATTTGTCATTTTCTCAACCACATTATGTGACACTGTAATGGTTTATTATCGTAATTTCACCTAGTTTTTCTTTGAGGCAGTGTGTCCCTGATGGTCTCGTGGCTAGGATTCGGGGCTCTCAATTCATAAATGCTTAGTTTACTTCCACATGACCCCAGCACCCTGATGGTGTCATTGTTAGAATTTTGAGCTTATACTGCCAAGGTCTGTGTTGGATCCCTGTTCAGAATTTAAATTTAGCCAATTTTGGTATACTTGCTACATTGGCAACATTATTCACTGCACTGGCTCCTTGATGGTATCGTGGCTAGGATTTGGCACCACCACAAATGTGCAGTCATCTGATATTTAGATATTCAAACCTGCTGTTGAATAATTGGATAACCCATTTTGTCAGACGTCCCCATCAAGAGGTCACATGATCACACCTGAGGCGGAGAGGACATTACAAGCCCTCTTACATGGACAGGACCCCTTCCCCCGAGGTGCAATCACTTTACCCAAATGAGAGGCTCTGTTGAACCTTGTTCCCTTTGTTCTGTCTTTACCGCAGCCATGTTGTGTGCAGTCCTGTAAGTGAATTTCATTTTTTCATATTTTATTTTAATTTTATTGTTATTTAATAAAATAAAACTGCTTTGAATTTTGAGCCTCTGACCCATGCCATCTCTCGGTCTCTCAAACACACTCAGCATATCCCCTAGCCATTTGATTTACAAATAACAAAATCAAAAAGCACATTCAAATTGTTGGTAAACACATTCATTAGGGTCGTATTATATACAATATAAACCCTTTGGACAAAGTTAATCGTTGGTAATATTTGGTATTAATGAGCCTCTTTGTCATCCTCACAAATGTCTCCTGCGCACCAGGTGTTTTCCGGCTTCAGTGTTTTGTGTTCTGACATTTCTTGACTTCTTCCTATTGATTTCCCAGTGTCTTGTTTGCCATGTCCCCCACTCATTTGTTGATCAACATGATATTCACATGCCACTGAAGTCTGTTTAGATGCGAGCGTGGAGAGTATAATGTCTGACATGAAGGTGAATGCACCTGGAAAACATAACATTTGTGTTAGAGGCAGTGGTGCTGGTTTTCAGGCAGGAATGCAGCACCAACATTACCAGAATAAATTAGATTTATTATTTGAATTTTGTTTCATATTTATTCTCATTATCTACCCAAGATCTTCCTTGTTGCCAGTGTTTTGGTGCATTTTGTAAAAAGAAAAAAAAAGTTGAATGGAATCTTAAGTACAAAGGTAAAAATTAGATATTTATTTATAAAGATATTTCATTTACAATGAGCAATTAAGCAACAAACCCTCACATCTGGATGCTGGAACCATTGGTGTTTCATAAATTACTTTATCAAAATGGCAACTTCCAGTTGAATTTTTTTGTCCACACAACATCACAGGAACTTTTATACAGATGAAATGTTCTTTATAATTAAAATATGATGGACAGCTGGAAGACAAATAATTTCATACAAAGGTAATTAATTAATCAATTTTCTGTGGTTTTATTATGCAGACGGGATTAATGGGTAGTTTCTGGTCTACACTCCGAAGCAGCAGGGGGCGGTAATGAGCCTAATGGGCTTGGTGTCTGTGTTTTGTGTCCAACAGGGGTCAGTGTTTACTCGAGGAAGCAGCAATGTTACAACAACCCCAACTCCTCTCTGAATTGATCGCTACATTACGACCAAATCGAGCTCTACCGCGGCCAAGCATAACTACTAAGAACCGCATGACGTTACTAAATGGTCTCAAATAAGTAGTGTTAACATTCGTTAGCTATACTCATAACGCTACTCAGTAGCTATAGCTAAGCTACAGACCAGGACTTTTTTCCATTTCAGGAGCGCGTAAGCTAGTTTAGCTTTGCTAACCGTTATAGCAGGTTATTTATTTAGTTGAGAGCTTGTAAGTAAACCTGTACGTTTCATTCCATTAGACTTCATTAACCTAACGTTATGCTTTGAGGATAGTCTAATACTCTAGCGAACGTTTTAGGCAACAACAAAAACTCGTTAGCTAGCACTTCCGGTTCCTTGTTTTCAAAATAAGAGGTCAGTGAAATCTCATTTTGCTGATTTCAAGATAATGAAGAGCAATTAATTAAGTAGCGTAAGATTAATGTGAATTACATTTGTGTCACAAAAGGGTCTAAAAAGTAAATTCATAAGAAAATAATTAAAAGATACATACAGCAAACATATGACTGATTCATACACGCATACATATATACATACAGTGGTGGAAAGTGATTAAGTACATTTAATTAATGAACTAAACTTAAGTGTTTTGATCTTGCAGCACCTTTGCATGTAATGCAGTGCTATTAAATGTTGGTATTGCTACCCTTACTTAGTAAACGATTGCATACTTCTCTAACAGGAAACATCCACCTCAGACCTTCGCTAAATGGAGAGACAATGGCGCCCTCTAGTCTGACTATCTGAACGTCCTAGTTGATCCGGTCTTCGTCAGCCAACCAGGAAAGAGGGCTTGCCGTGATCTGGACTGAGGCGGATGAGACCAGAAGCCTTTGTTCTGTATCTCCTCCTGAAGCGAGATTTGAAAAAAACCAGGAGCCTCTCAATGCTTCCTGCAAAACTGCGATCGCGTTTCTGCGGGTTGGCGATCGCTCGTGGATGTTTTACTCATCATAAATTAGCAGAATTCATTTATTAGCTGTTGTGATATTTTTTTTTCCTCACTGCTACAACCCGGAGGGGGGAGACATCGGCTCGGGTTGTTTTTCTTCCTTCTTGTCAGCTGCTAAATGGAAATAAACCGGGGAACTGAAAGTGGAACCAGTCGAGGTGCGTGTCGTGAAAAATCACGTTTCATAACGATCCCCGCGATCTCTCGTGTTACCCGTGAGTTCACAGTGACCTTAAATTAAGTGCTCATGTTCTGTGACATGTTTCCTGCAGCGTGTCTACCTGAACCACAATGAGCTTATTATTACGGTGGCATCTCCAGCGCTGATTTACTTCCAACACTCGCATCAGATGCTCATCGATCTGCCGGCATAGTTTGCTTTTAACATCGATCTGAATGTCATTAGAGTCCTATTTCAGAAATCCAATCTCCTGCTCGGTTGTATAGTTCCAGCATTCAACAAGATGCGAGTTTGTTGTGAGTTTGATGGATGCTGTTGTCGGTGCACCTGAGAGCAGCACTTGTCATGTCATATTGCCACAATACATCTTATTCACTCACGCATAGTGTGTAATGTGTCGTTGTTGACACAGATTGCTGGTTGAATTATATGTAGTGTAGTAAGTGACATTTCTGAAGTGGGCTTTGGATCACTCGTCCTGGTCTAAACAACAAAATTCAGCTTAGTGGGTAGAAAAACAAACACATCAGCCTGTCTCCTACCAGACAGACTGAAGTCCAGCAGGTCAATGTTTGAGCAATGTTTGCTGTGTATACTACAGCAGATGATATTCATGAAACTATTTCCTTTTGCCGCAGCATAATAATCCCGTACTGCACGTTAGAGAAGCGACATTATGTAGCCATCAGCCTTTATATGTGAACCATTGAAATACATGTTTAGTTTTAGGATGTGGCATTGAATTATTTACCTTTCACAAGTAGGAGTCCAGATAAAATCTAAGACTACAGTATATGCCAATTATATTTTGTGACGTCTGTTTTTTTGCATGTGCCTGAGAAAAGCCCTTTGTCACACGGATGCAAAAGTTATATTGAAAAGCTATAAAAGTCGTATTTTCAATCATCATATTGCCCAACCTTATTAAAGACCTCTTAATAAGGAATATGAACCATAAAACAAAAGCAGAGACGTGTGCAGGTGTTTCATGTTACCTGCTTATTGGGTTACCTGCCTTGAGCTGTTTACTCCTGCTCTGGGTTTCTATCGGGTTGTGGGTAATGTGAAACTGTTGCTTGTGGATGCACATTAATCCTCTTTAGGTAGTAACAGGCTGCATCAAAACAACTTTAATTGCCAGTTACATGAAATGTTGATACATGTTTATTTTTACACTTTTCTCTCCTCCTCCTCCTCCACCTCAGGTAATGATCTTCCAGTCCACTATCTACGCCTCCTCGCCCCGCCCTTGCAGCTGTTGTCAGCCGCAGTGTGGCAAGTAGTGCAGCAGGGACTCGTGGACCACTATGGGATGCTGGAGGAGTTTGTTACCATGGTGACGGAACTGGTCCCAGAGCTGATGAGCTACAGTCAGAGGGCTCAGCTCATCCTGGGACTCAGGGCCAGGGTCAGTAATATATAATTCAACCACACTGAGGTGACGCGTGTACTTATTCTAGGTAGTTGTCTCAGGTCAAAGCCAGGTTTAAAATGTATAAACAAGCTTTTTAAGTAGACGATGAGTGACGTGAGGATGGTATCTCACTTATATGTGTATTTATTTCATATACTAAATCAGGTGGGCAGAGTAGCAACAGGTCCGGTGTTACACCAGGAGCTTTATGAACCAGGACTATTGTTTATGTGTGTGTGTGCACATCCAGCTGGTTCTAGAGATGTGTCGAGGGGAGCTCCCAGTGGACCTGCAGACCATTCAGCCACATCTGGACAGAATTAAAGCTCCCGTCAGCACTGCCAAGGATCACCATGTAAGTAAACTGTCGCTGGCAAACACACACAGCGGTTTTTCTTTTTCCGGTGTGGAAGTTTACTCGGTTATGACCGATCGAGTCTCACAACGGGTGGGAACAGTTGTTTTCTAGAATTTGTATTGAGTTATAAAAGTCACCTCAAATGGCGTTTGTCATCCGTACCCTTGATTTGTGTGTGTGTGTGTGTGTGTGTGTGTGTGTGTGTGTGTGTGTGTGTGTGTGTGTGTGTGTGTGTGTGTGTAACAGGTAACCATAAACCAGGTGGAGGAATCGGAGGTGAACTTTGTGGAGTTGGTTCATTCATTACTGGAGGATCCCTCGGAAAGAAAATATTTTTTCCAAGTGAGACAACACTCCTTATTGCATTGTTTTCTTTCATTTTGCCTGATCGTAATTCCACATTGTCCTGTCCACTGTACACTAACTAAATGTCTCTCACTCTCTTAATCTGTCTGCCTCTGTTTCTCATTTGCAGGAAATATTCCCTGCGTATTTTGGGCCAAAGTACAACGCTGCACTTGAGATGCTGGTGTGGGAGTTCATATCAAGACTGGAGGAGCTGCTGCCAGTTCCAGACTTCACACAGGTGCCACATTACATAAATTACATAATGATAATAATCTACCTTGAATTATTTGTGTTACACTTTTCTTAAACCAGTCTTGTCTTGGTTGGTCTTAAGCCCTGTGGTCATGGCACTAATATTACCTGAGGACCTCTAGGAATTTGTAATAATTGCAGAAGTCGTCTGTGATCTTAATCGTGTGTGTTATTTATTTGTTTGAATGTCACCAACATGTCTGATACACTTTGCATGAAATATACTGTCTACATTTCGACTGAAAATGGACACTAGTGGCCCTACGACCTTACTCTATTGCTTCTTTCTGCAGCCACGCTGCTGCTGACATTCACGCTTATGTAACGGGGTCGTATCTCGGCCTCTGTTATATCCCTATTTTGTTACCTGCCCTCTGCAGTGTTGATGTGAGGCTACCAGGGGAGAATGCCAGGCCCTGTGGGAGGTCTGCACTACTTGTTTTGCCTCCCGCCTTTTACTCCTCTACCACAATACACCAAAATGCAACACAAGAGAAGTGTGTCACCAGGAAATGGCTCTGGCATTATTCTTAGACTGACTGTGGCACACAGGCTCAGTGCAGGGGCTCATCTGTCTGCACCACTGACCCAGAGACAGATATAGAGGAGGGTTAACTGGATACAGGTGCAACACAGTGTCCCAGGGGACTGCAGGGAAAATACACAGCCCCTCATGATACCGATTTGTTTTTTATTTGAACTCACCGTGAGTCATTTGGCAGTACAAATAAAAGATAATGAGTGCAGGATTACTAAAGGTAGGAACTTGATCTCTCTTCTCAGCTGGCAGCTTGGCTTGGAGACACTCCGTCATTCCTAGACGAATGTCTACAATCCTTTTTCCCGCCAGAGGACATGAAGGGTGTACTTGAACATCACAGAAACCTCGGCCATTTTGCAGAGAAAGGTACTGTGTGCCCCCCGGGTTGTGTACTGTAACTGTACGGTCAACACTGAAACGGAAAGGGATATAATCGCAGATTAGAAGACCAAATTTATTAAAGCATTTCTTATAAAAGGTTGGAAGAGACAGCGAAGATGCACTTGGAGCAACCACTAATTTTCCTCTTTGTATTTTGATAGAATTGAGAGTTTTTCTTGTCAGTTAAATAATGATTGAACCAAGCTTATTTTTTCTTAATTGTAGAATCTAGATTTTTACCGATGGATGACTGCATCCTCTCCTCCCTGTCTCTGCCTCCTGGGACCAAACCTGTCACAAACGCCACCGCCCCATGCACACCTGCTTCCAAAGATTCAAACCCTCCAGAGCACAAAGGACAGCTCGACGCTCTCTTCGACACAAGCAGCCTGGAGAGGGCGATCAGGAGGAGCTCCGAGACCGTGAGACAAAGACTGGAGGAGACGAGAGACTCGGGCAGCTGGCAGCTGCAGGTTAGAGACGGGAAAGACTCAGTTAGCGCACAACCCCGCGATGAAACCATAGACCTCACTACGTCGAACGAGACTGCGAACAAGGATTCAGCAGCCAGTGACAACAGCCACAGCTTGAGAGGAGGGCGGGTTCTCAGGAAGAGGAAGCTGAGCGGAGGCGTGGACATTCCCAAAAAACAGCCTGCGGAGGCGACAGCTTTCCTGTAAGATTACCAGAAACGTTGTGTTTAATTGGTTCTGTGGGCAGTAATCACTTCTGTTTTATTTTCATCACTCGGGGTTCCATTCCCTTTTCATCCATATTAGCGGCATGTCTCTAAGGACGACAGTGTCAGTCCACCAGCTTTGATCTAGATTGAAATATCTCATCAACCATTTCATGGATTGCCATGAAATTTGGTACAGATATTCATTGTAGCCAGACAATGACGTCACAATGACTTTAGTGAGCCTCTGGCTCTTTATTTAGCGCCACGGTGAGGTAAAAATGTGCCCAATACTTCTGTTTATGAACAAATACCTGCAAAACTAATGACATTCCCATCAGCCTCAGCTGTAGTTTGTGTTTAAAGGCTAATTAACAAATGTTAACATGCCGACATAAACTATGATGGTGAACATAGTAAACATTATACCTACTGAATATCAGCATGTTGCACCACTGTGCCAAAGTACAACATGCTGTCGACTCTTTAAGTCTTGTTGAATATTTGTTTCATGTACTACTTGTCATTTTAATCTTCTGAAAATACTTTACAGTTTAATGCTCAAAAAAAATGTTTTGGAATCACAAAAAAAGTGTGTCTGTCAATCTGTCAATTTGATCCTTTTGTGTTTTTCCACCTTTACAGGGATTCGTCAGTGGATGATGAGAATTCAGGTGAATCTCCTCTCATCTCAATATGGGGAGAATATACAGGTTTGTGCTCTTTTTTTTTTTTGATGGATCAGTGGATGCTATCAGTCAGATAAACGTAGTCCTTTGACTAACTCTGCTCGTTTTATTTTAGACTCTCAGGAAGGTTCCCTCCCGGTTGTGACGGACACAAAAGTTCCCTGGTCGGACGAGGAGACACTCAATCTGCTCGACATCTGGGGGAAGGACTCGGTGCAGCGGGCTTTAAAGGGCTGCTTGAAAAACCGTCACATATTTACGCAGATCGCTCAGAAGATGGCAGAGAGAGGCTACGTGAGAACGGTGGAACAGTGCCAGACCAGGATCAAGCGACTGAAGAAATGCTTCCGCAAGAACAACAAGTAGGTGTTAAATGACCTGTCCTTCTTCCTCGCCGCTCGTCTTTCTGTCCGATCATTGCAGTTTATCAGATAACTTTATTTCCCTCTGAAAATGTCAAAGCTGTAATTTGTAAAACAGCAAAATGCCCCCGTTGCCTTTTTTCCCTTTTCCAACACCAGAAGGAACTCCAAACTGGAGTATAAGTTTTACGAGCAGCTGAAGCGGGTACTCGGCTCCTCGGCGCCCTCGGCTGTTCCAGAGGTCACCTATGATGTCGAAGAGGTCATCGATGAAGATGAGTCACAAGACGGCGATGAGGAATTGCAGTTTCTTGGCCATACGAGCCGACTGGAAATCGGTACAATTTCACTTTTACGGGGGGGGGGGCAGGCAATTGTAGGTCAAACTAAATAAATAATAATACAAGGCCTAGGGAGGGGGCTAATATAAAAAAATCTATATATCAATTGTAAATTTAGGATGAAAAAACTTGGATATTCTCTGAGATAAAAATAAGAAAATTAACTCGTATTTAATTCCGAAAATCTTTGTTTTAGAGAATTTGTCCCCTCACCCAGCTCCCAATTTAGTTATTTGTTATTTTTGTCTTTCAATGGCCTAATGCGCCAAAGCACAAAAATAATAAACATAACACAGGGTTGTGTTAAAATGGCATGTCACAGTAAAAGGACTGTTTCACAGATTATACTGACAAACAATGTGATTCATGTTTTCGCTTTAGGAACTAGAAGCGTCCCGTGGACAGACTTTGAGTCGTTGGCCCTCATCAACACGTGGGGGGAAGAAAAGATGCAGCAGGAGAGGAGAGGAATGCACAGGACGTTACACATTTTCTCCATCTTATCCAACAAGATGGCTGCCCAGGGCTTCTCCCGAACGCCAGAGCAGTGCCAAACAAGGCTGAAAAGGCTGAAATCAAATTTCAGGCAATGCTACCAAAACAAGTATGTATACTTACAGCAAAGAGGAATGAAAGGAGAAGTTTGTGGTACTTGTCGATTCACAGTATACATCTGCTCTGTTCTTATCTCTCGATGCAGCATGAAGGGACAGGAGCAAGTGGAGTGCAAGTTTTACAATGAACTGGGAAGCTTTTTAGTGAAGGACTTCCCTTCAGTGCCGCAGCTGGAGGAACTACCAGGAGAGCCTGAAGACAACGACTCACCGCCTTTTTCCCATCAGGATATCGGTAAACCCTAATGTCCTCTACTGACAGCGGGACTACATTAGAAATATGAATAGAATACAAAACAGTTCTGTTCTCAATGTCTCATTTATTTACTTATTGTTTAGTTACAACAAGATTATAACACCATTATAATGATCACTTTTAATGATTCAATGGAACTTTAATGGCATGCACAGTATACTTAAATTAATCTTTATCGTTCAAAACTTCGTCAAACAACATCATAGCATATTCAACAAAAATACAGCTATCGAGCAGTGTGGCTAGTACAAAACAAAATGGTCAAAATGTAACATCAACACTAGTCGTAGTGAAGTCATGATAGATGATGGGGGGGAATTAACTCAATGAAGTTATTCCTTAAAGTGTTTAATTTTCTATCTGTGTCACATCAGAGTCTGCTGTGGGCGTTCAGGAGGACAGGAAGAAAGTCCCCTGGTCGGACAAAGAGACCGTCATCCTTCTAGAGATCTGGGGAGACCCACAGGTAGAGCAATGAGAAAAAATGAGAGCGATATATATCCAGTCCTTAAATAGAGCCTCTATGTGCAAGCTATCCTCATCCGTTTGATTGTCATATTTTTTGTATATTGCCACATTTTGCTGAGAATTTCCCCCACATTTAGGTCCAGCAGAGCATGAAACGCTACCCACACAACGGTCACATTTTCACCGAAGTATCGGAGAAACTCACCGCCAACGGCTACTCCCGCAGTGCGGGGCAGTGCCACACCCGGATCAAGCGCCTGAAAGCCAACTACCGGCATTGTCAGGACAACCTGAAGTAAAAAGCAGCACCCGAACACTCCTTTTGTATGCTGTGCTGTTGGCAGGACATCTGTGTGTTAATACAGCTGTCTCTACTGCCTGTAGCTCATCGGGGACCGACAGAGTTGACTTTAAATTCTATGATCTGCTGGAACAAATCCTGGACAAGCAGCCGTCAACATCCTCCACTGTGGTGACAGACTCCATCGAAATATCAGAAGACTCCAACGGTGAATCGGTGCCTGAAACAGGTAAAATACAATATTCCTTCATCAAGTTGATGCGGTGAATAGTAGGGCAGCATTACGCACGATTACACTGTGTGCATTCGTACCAAAACCGATACAAGAGAGTGACATGTGCTGTGTTTATGCTGTAAGATGGAGAAATCGGCACGTCAACGGAGAAACCGGCGAGTGGCTCGTGGTCCGATGAGGAGACCCTGGTGCTGATCGAGATCTGGGGCGACGAAGACGTTCAGAGTGCGCTGAGGGGTTTCATCCACAACGGACACATTTACGCCGACATTTCGCAGAGGATGCGCGACCTCGGCTACTCGAAGACCTCAGAGCAGTGCCGCTGGAAGGTCAAGTCACTGAGGAACAACTTTCGGCAGTGCTACGACAGGAAGAAGTGAGATCAAAACTTTCAGTTTGCCTGTTATATCTGTTTGCACGTATAATCCAGTATGACTCTAATGGTTCATATTTACGTCTTGTCATGCCGTCTAGATCTGGAAGAAGAGTAGATTACAGATTCTACCACCAGCTGGAACAAATACTCGGTCAGGAGGCGGTTTCTATTGATGATTATGATGAAAAAGACGAGCAAGCAGACCAGGACCCAGGTACAGTCGTCTTCATTCATTCATTCATTCATTCACACAGCAGTACTTTCTAACGGCTGCATCAACCTGGAATAGGTGCGGATGTGAACACAGCGTGGACGGAGCAGGAGACGTTCGCTCTCGTCGAAGTGTGGGCTGCAGACGACGTGCAGCACAGCCTGAAAACGTGCGTCCGCAACGGGCACATATTCACCGACATATCGGAGAAAATGGCCGCCACGGGATACCCGAGGACGACGGAGCAGTGCCACTCCCGGATCAAAAGGTTGAAGAAGAGTTATAGGCGTTACTGCAACAGCTGGAGGTAAAATAAAATGGCCTCGTAAAAATGAAGACCACCATCCCCCACGCAAGCAGGCTGTTTCACAGCTTGCATTTTATTTACGTTTTTCAGAAATGGAGGACGGCCCACTGTGTTCCGGTACTTCCACCTCCTGGCTCCGGTGCTTGGTGATAACTCTGTGTGTCCTGAAGTGGAGAGTCCTGCCGCTGACGCCTCCTTGGATCCCCTGATGGAAACGGATCCTGACATGTGTAGGTTCAACTATGATCAATCAATTAGTGTCACCACACCAGTTCTGCAATTGTACACAGCGTCATTGTGCAGATGATACATTCCTTTCAAAGATTAAAGCCCAACAATACATCTGTGGTTCCTCCACTTAGACGAGCAGCCCTCATCCAGCCACCTCCTGGCTGACCAGAGCAGAAAGATGCCCTGGTCCGACCAGGAGACACGCACCCTGCTGGAGGTCTGGGGTGAAGACAACGTGCAGCTCACCCTGAAGGGCTGCCTGAAGAACCGCCACGTGTTTGAGTACATCTCTGAGAAGATGAGTGACGGAGGATTCATAAGGACCTCGGAGCAGTGCTACACTCGCATCAAACGCCTTAAACATGGCTTCCTCCATGAAAAGTCAGTGATGACAACAACTATGAATCATTTTCTTTATATTATTGGTTTTGTTGGTTTGTACAGTTTCTGTACAGAGCCATACATACATGCATGCATGCATACATGTATGTATGTATGTATGTATGTATGTATGTATGTATGTATGTATGTATGTATGTATGTATGTATGTATGTATGTATGTATGTATGTATGTATGTATGTATGTATGTATGTATGTATGTATGTATGTATGTATGTATGTATGTATGTATGCATGCAGCTTTTCCTTTTTATCAGTAGTTTCCATTGATTTAAAACAAACTTTAAAAGCAGTTTTAAAATATGTTTTGTTTTGATGTGACCACAAGTATTTGAATTTGACCAACTTTCATTGTTAAAATTTGCTCAGTGTTGTTTAAATGTCTTGGAAAAATGTTTGGGATTTGGTTAGCATTAGCGTTGCCAGCTAATCACAAGCTAACTGCCAGTTTTGTTTCACTTTGAATTCAGGGAGGAATATAAATTCTTCAACGAGATGAATGAAATCTTCGGGAGGGAGCTGAAAATGGACGACTTGGTCCCAGACACGTCAGTCCCAGATGAGCCAGACGACTGCACCCAAAAGAAAGGTGAAACCTTTCAAAATAAAACCATCAAACTGACTATAATACAGTTATTACAGAAGTCATGACAGCCTGTTTCTCATGTTAAGGTATATGGTAGATCTATAAGTGTATACTTTTCTCATTATTTTAATTGTTTTCTATAAACTGTACAGATTGTTTTTGTTAATTCTGAGACATCCACTCTGTTAGTAACCTCAGGGACACAGTGGGTGGCGGACAGTTCGAAGCTGGCCTGGAGCGACGGGGAGACCGAGGTCCTCTTGGACATATGGGGGAGCGAGGAGATCCAGGAGACCTTGAAAGGCTGCACAAAGAACAAACACATCTTCATCCAGATCTCCGAGGTCATGGCGAGCCAGGGCTACCTGCGCACTCCTGAACAGTGTCAGACCAGAATAAAGAGGCTGAGGGCCAATTTCCGACACTTCCTAGAAGGCAGAAAGTAAGTACTTGCTGTTCATTGCTGGGGGGGGGGGGATGTGGTTGGATCAGGCTGCAGGTCTAAACCTCTACATTCTTGATACGGTTTAAGCATATTTCGAACCTCATAACATTTGATTCACTGCAGTTGTACACATTCATTTGTGGAAGAAACTTGCTGTCTCCTTATAACAATCTCTGAAATTCTGTTTCCAGAGGAGAGAAACAGGAATGCAAGTTCTTTGACCAGTTGGTACAGATATTTGGCAGCAAGTATGTAATAAACTCTGACCCCCTGGCCGACGATACAGCTGATGGCGTAGGTAAGAATCCGCATTATAAGATAAGACAACTGGCTGCTGGCTCTAGCTACATAGTCAACACAAAAACCTGATCTTCTTATCTAATTCTCAACTGTATTTCTCAAAATGTCATTGCTTGTGAGTCATAATCAAAACTTTATGTCTGAAATGTACTTTGTCAGATCTAGAGACCTGAAACTGTCCGTCATCGTAGAGTCAAATCACGAGGACACAGCAGCTGCAGAGTGACTGAGGAACATCCAGAAGGGAAAAAACAAGGACACTCGAGCAGGAACTGTTAACATTCAGAGCTGTGGTGTGCAGTTGTTTACGGATGACGTTTGCCTCTGTATGTACTTCAAATACTTTAACATTCTTCATACACACAGGCTGTAGTGTGTGTGTGTGTGTGTGTGTCCGCGTCCCTCCTCCAGAGTGTCTTTGTATTATTTACAATAGAGCCATGAAACTAAAACCAGGAAGCTCAGGGCTCACAGGGACAAAAAGTAATTTCTGATCTTGATGTAGTGGGAGTCAAAGAAAATGCTGTTTTTGCTAGTATTTATTTATTTTGTACTTGAACTATAGTGAGTGACTCAAAGCACACGCACAAAGAAAGAAATATACGCCAGGCCTCTTGTTGTGTAACCACAGCGTACGTTTGCTTTTTGGTCTTAATTTACGTTTCACCTAAATCTTCTGTCTTTGCACCTGTTTACAATGTTTGAATCCGAGTGGTGAAAGTTGAGTTCATGAAGCTTATTTTTTACACGGTATGAGTTGATCTGGTCCAATATTGTATTTATTTAAATTATTGTTTACGCATGTTCTCCAAAGTTTTATAATTTCCTTCGCATATGTTACTCTTCAAATCTTATTGAAGCACATTTTTTTTCCACAAACGTGTCAAGGTTTTTGTTACACCCATTAAAAGAAACTTCAAATGTTTGATTGAGGATTCAGTTCCGTGATTTGTTGTGTTTTTTTTTGCGTGACAAGTTCAGCCAAGACTGTTAGAGATTGTTACTGTACACTAAAACCACAATGGAAACAAAATAATAAAAGTGCAGTTAACTTAGAAGTAGAGAACATTCATATCTAAAGGTATATCATCTGTATGCAACGATTGAGCAGGCTTTGGTTGAATGCAGGTGAACAGTCTGTGTGGACACTGTGGGACTAACAAAGATTTTATGTTCACTGGCTAGTTGCTAACTTGTTTTGGACCTGAATTGTTCAAATTTAAATGTAACTAATGTGTAGAAATGAACAGAAAATGTGTTTAGAGTACATTATTATCCCATGGCGATGAAGTCCATGCTCTCTGTCTCTCTCACCCACACAGACTCTCATGAGAATTCACTGCGGTTGCTGCAGTCAACCAGAGCTTCCTGCTCCGCGTGTATCAGATTAGTTGTACAGTGATGGAAAATCAGAGAGGGATTGCTAGGCAACGTCTTCTAAACACGCTATGGTTTCCCGCCACAAGGCCATGAGTTTGACATAGTGTTGTTTTGTTGAGACATGACAAAAAAACTCCCATGCACTGTAACCATAGTCACACTAACAGTGTATCGGACACTGAAGCAGAGAGGTACAGGCTTTCCTTTCATTTATGATGTCAGGTTGCTGGCATCAACCAGCCCAGCACCACTGGGTACCAGAGGAACCTTCCTCTGACAGGATCGTGTAGACGTCACACTGAACATTGAACCTGGCGTTGAACAGGAGGCGGGTCAAGCTAATGATGTGGTGAATCTGTATTTTGTATGGTGAGGTGTGTGCATTTGTTCAGGTAATGCATGTTTGATCTATATACAATGCATGAAATGATTAAGTGAGAAAGTTCAAAGATGATGGGACAAGTTTAATGATTTAAATATTCATATCTTTGGTTTGTCCGCTCTGGGACACTCAGCTCACAGCCCGTTTGCAACTGTGGGCTGTTTGAGGTACTTACTGTCCCTTTTTCCTCTCAGAAACAGGTGTCAGTCCGAGTAGATTCCCAGTCTTTGGCCTGGAGTGCTTAACTTGAGAGGTGTTAATATCAGACAGCTTGTTGTAGCGGTTCAGCTCTGTGGTTGGCCTGAGAACAGCGGTCTCAGGCTTGTGTCCGGCTGACCAGGGGCTGCTGGACCTGGACTGGGTAATGTGTTCACTCGGTGGCAGACGTGCAGGGGTCGGTCTGTTTTGTATCAGCCAACTGCCCTCCTTGTTGTTGCAGTCTTATTTGACACAAGAATTAAAGACAAATAAGTGAGTAAAGCTCAAGATTGACTGAGTATTAAAGTATTAAATACTGCAAGTAACCTGGTTCAGGTCATACTTGAGCTGTCTAAACTGGACAATGTGGCACCAGAAGGCTAAATAAAGTATAAGCAAAAGCTACTTAATGTCAGTGGTCTACTTGTAACTTTCAGCTTGCACGAGGTAATGTACAGGCTAGATTTGTGTCCCTCTGGTAAAATGTGTCAGGTCAAGGCTACGTTCTTCAGATTGATTGATTGATGATCAAACAACTCTTCTAAACAGATCTCACCTGCAGGTAACATGAGCAGTCTCCCAAAACCACATCTGTCCTGCTGTGGATGCTGCGAGTCCAACCTGAGGCTGGAGGCCGAGGAGCGTGGAGGAGGTGAAGGGGGGAATGGGTGGAAACCAGTTTGCCACTACCTGCATGCTGAAATGTTATACAGCAGAAATAAAAGAAGAAGGGGAAAGTCAGCGGGAGGGACAACTTGCAAAACTTTTTTTTCTTTGAGAATAACATCTTTAACTCTTCTCTACTCGCTACCACTACTAGATACTAATGATAAACAATGATATTAGAAACCATCCAAATATAATTAGGATTAACCCTTACGTTGCCTGTGTGTCATTTCATCAGCTGGCCATTGTCAATTGGTGGCAGGGTGCATCCGTATACAACAGGCTTGGGCTTCTGTAATGTCAAGAGGACATCTGCATGAAGCTATATGTCACAATATTGAACATAATTCAGAGTGAGATTTGATGGTAAAACACAACACAACTCAACAACTGATGTGCGCTTTTAGTTGATTTGACCCTTTTTAAAGTTACTGTTACTGTAAGTTACAGGTAGGAAAGAAAGACATCAAATTGGTCTTAATTGGTCTAGTAAATGTCATTTTATAGAAATAGTAATAGTCGTACAGAAATAGTCATTTTATAGAAAAAGGATAAGTGTTCCACTAATATAGTAAAAAATATTACAAAAGAGAATTTGTGATGTTGGATCTCCCTGAACCAACTGAGGTGCCCTCACCTCTTCCTAATTGAAACATCATCTATTAACGACGTTTGCACTGCAACTCTCAAAAGTTTCCCACTGGGTGGCGCCAGTGGATAACTAGTTACTCTACAGTGACTGGACCTAAAACAGTATGTCAGAATGTACTTCAGGTACTGTTGACCATTTACAATAATGTGTCGATATCCAAGCAGGAAAGCTGTGTACCAGTGTCACTGACATAAACACACTCCATGTAAAACACTCATGTGGTACAGACAGAGACAAACACATGCAGCTCTCAAAATGCTTGGACAGTAATTACGTGTCTAAATCTGACAGAGCGTCCAACCGCCAATGTCTGGCTGCCTGCCAGTGTGTGTGTGTGTGTGTATGTACTTGTGCCTGTGTGTGTAACGTTGGTGAAGACAGAGACAGGCTGGCTGGAATCTTTTGAGGGAAGGGTTATACACACACACACACACACACACACACACAAATGCACATAAAAGGTTGAGCAGTGCCACATCACCCACCTCACCCTCACACACTGTTTCCTACACTCATATCACACATATAATAGATGTATATAATATAATAGATAATAAGGCTGAGATTCAAACGTGTGATACCATTAAATAAGTCCATGTAACTCCAGTAATGTTGACTTTTTTGTTTGTATGTTTATGCACAGTATATATATGTCTATTGTTGTGTATATATATATATATATGTATATATACATATATATATATTGTTCTTTTATTGTTTTGTAATACTCAGATACTGCCAGCTAACATTTATTTGCTAAATCAAACTACATTGAAACAAGTACCGTCCTTTCGTAAAATTTGAGGTATTCCAGCTTTACATATTTTACTTTACTAATATTTAACGATAAATATTGTATTTTTAGACTTAACAGCATGTGTTACTTTTATGTGAGGCATCTCAATACTTTTTCCACCACTGCTTTCAGTCATTTGGTATTCGACCTGACATCTGCACGTTCTGGGCCTCCAAATAGAAATATATTTTCCAGTTTCTTCCTCTCCTTTTAAGGAATTTAAGGAAAAAAAACAACACAAAGCGTCTTTATAAAATGTTGAGCCAGCACAACACACGTTCTCCAAGCCTCTGGAGCTCTATTTTCCTGCTTCTTTTCGTGATTTGCCATTTTGTTTTACAATACTCTCCAAAATAGCTGTTCAATTAAGTTGATATATGTTGAGGCCATAGCATGAAAACCACATGCTATGATTTTCATACTCATCAAACCATTCAGTGACCCTTCATGCCCTGTGGATGTGATCACCTGTCACAGAGCATGATAGGATAATGTCACATGTATGGAGGCATCATCTGTTATGGTTCTCCTCTCTTTTATTCTTTTTCTTATTGGTGACTCTGTATATGAGTGAATTCTGAGTGAGCCTGCAACAGAGGGGGGCATGGCGGGGTTGTGTAACATGCAACTGAGTCATTCCTCCCTGAGGGCAGACATTTACACCGTACTTCATTACTGCAACAGGCAGGCTCACGTTCTCTCTCTCTCTCTCTCTCTCTCTCTCTCTCGTTTTGTGTGTGTGTGGGTGTGTGTGTGTATGTCTGTGTGCCCAGGCCAGATATACGCATCCTGCTATGTCCTCAAAAATGCAGCTTCATTCTCTGCCCTCCACTGCAGGCACACATGTGTGAAAGGCAGAACATAAGGGAGAGAGGAAGGAAGGAGTTTATCGTTTAGCAGTGGTTAAGAAGTCAAAGAACACACGCCACGAAGAAGAAAGATAGCGTGTGTTTGTGTGTGTGTGTGTGTGTGTGTGTGTGTGTGTGTGTGTGTGTGTGTCGGGAGCCTCCCTCCCTCGGGGTTGTGTATGGGCTTGTTACAGCGACATTCCTCCACTCAGCTGCTTCTGAGCAGCACATTCCAGGAAGGGAGAGATAGAAAGAGAAAAGAGAGGGAGTAAAAGGGGAGAGAAAGGGAGGAAGAGAAGAGGAGGGGGAGATAAAAGCGGGGAGTAAGAACAAAGGGGGAGTGAGAGGGGGGGGGTAATTGAGGCAAAGAGGATAGACAGGGGCGAGTGGTTAAGGAAGAAAACGGGGATATTAATAAAATATGTAATTGATCCCTGTTGTGACCCCTCTTCTCCACCGAGAGGTCAAAGGTCAGGGTCAGATACAGTACAGAGAAAACAGAAGCAGTGCTGAGAACAGGAAGTGACAGAGAGAAGGGGGTGGATCTCAGGAGGCCACGAGGTCTTTTCTTAAAATATTATTCCCCATATAACCATAACACACACACACACACACACACAGTAAGTAGAGTACTCGTGTGTTCATCTCTTCAGTCTGCTTGACCTGTTTCCACTGAACTGTGGAAGAAAAGAAACAAATCTCACCCCAAACGCGGACACACATAATGATTCAGTCACATGGTCGCACTCCTCTGTACAGACACTGTATGGACACAAATGTGACATTAAGACAGAGCTCGCCTCACTGCAATCGGTTAGTTAGAGAGCTTATTGGCACAAAAATATGAAATAACTTAAGAGATCAAATGAAAACATTATTCGCAAATAGCGCCCGTTAAACAATTCTTTCTGCACATGAATATTATTACTAAATTACATTTTCAGGCAAATAATCAAAGACTGTATTGTCTGTGGCTATAAATATGAATTAGAGAATTAGAGATCACGTTGATGCAGGGAAGTAAAAAGGTTTGTTTATGTGATAGTCAACTGAATATCTTTGCGTTTTCGACTGTTGGCTGCACAAAAGACATAAATATGTCACCTTGGGCTTGTTGACAGACTGCGTGTTGTGTGTTCTCTCTGTCTTGTTAATGCTCACATTGTACAATTATTGGCTGGGATGAAGACTGTTGTCAGGCAGGAAAATCAACTGTGTTGCTCATGTCTGGTAAATGAAGAGAGGACAGAAACACAGAAGGAAAACATGGGATATTTACCGAGGATAACAAGCAAGTACGTTTAAAGACGAGAGCAACAAGAAGCAGTCTGTGTGTGGAAGCTTGTTGGCTCAGTGACAGCGTCCCCTTCTCCTTCTCCTTCTCCCTCTTCCTCGGCCTGAATAGACGGGTTTGTTTGTTGTCACTGGTAGAACTAAAGGAAAACAATGTCACTTGATTCCCCTTCTGTGTGTGCTTATCGAAAGAGAGTTAATCGTGCATAAGTGTCTATTGAGTTTCCGTCCCCCGGAAGCTCTATCGAGAATACCAATTCACCATTTGTTTTTTGTTTCTTCTCTCCATCTCCGTAGCTCTGTTTTTCTCACCAGTTTGTCAATTCCACTAAAAGTAAATGACCTGGATGCTCACAATTAGCATACTTTAATAGAAATTTAGTTGCGAAACACCAATCACGTTTGTGTAAAACAACATATTTTACGTATGTGACAGAGTGACAACCAGTGGGGATGTTTCATGATGAATTTGTTTGTTTCTATTTCTGTCTGTATCTTAATCCAGATTATATATTTTACTAATCTGTTGGCTGTTAGCTGCTTCTTTACTCTGGCCTTCACATATCTATCCATCTGTCTGTCTGTCCGTCCGTCCGTCCGTCTGTCTGTCCGTCTGTCTGTCTGTCCATCCGTCTGTCTGTCCGTCTATCTGACCGTCTATCTGTCTGTCTGTCTGTCCGTCCGTCCGTCCGTCCATCCATCTAACTGTGTTAGTGCTATTGAATCAATAACAGCGTTATGGCTGAATGACCGGATTATTAAACGGTAGAACGAGGCTTACTGTAACCTGTACTCTCCTGTATCTCCTGACAGAGACAAACGTGTATGTTTGTATAATATTTGGAGATAGTGGCGCAGGTCAGTGGCTTCAATGTGTTATTGTATACATGTGACTCCCACCTACACTAAAACTATTTGAAGGAATTAGACAGAGAGCCACCTGGACCGCTTACATAACAGAAATGCTTTCACATTAATGCATCAATGATTTACAGTAATTGAAAAGGATTATTCTCAGTGACAACTAAGCACAGAACACTTTACTGCTTGTTTCGTTATTTAGGTTAACTACTATTGCTACTTGGGTAAGCAACTGTTTTAGACAAATGACAGTAAGGTTAGATGTAAGAGTATAAAGTTAGTCAGGATTGCTTTTGGACCAGAGGTTAATGGGAAAATTAAAATCATAACACGGCAGGTAACTCCAAAAAGCAGGTAACTCCAAAAAGTAATTTGAGTAGTTACTATACATATGGAAACATATACTGTATATATATATATAAACAATGTATGCAGTATTTTCATAGGATAACGTATGGCTGGAAAATTAACACAATTGACATTTGTTCCAAAAACAAAATCCAATATTTTATTGGAATGACAAGAAAATAAAAACATGTTGCAAAGTGACACAACTTTTATATTTAAGTAGAAATTATGGAAAGGTGGAAAATTATCTTTGGTCTATCTGGCAGTTAATTACATATTAAAACAC